GCCTAGGCCCTGCCCGCACGCTGAGTAAGTCTCTGCGGCTGCGCAGTACCGGGGCGAGACCTGAGCGGGCAGGGCTAGAAGCGGCGCTGGGCGAAGGCGGGGCGGTGGGCGTGGCCCGGCGCAGAAGGGGAACAAATCGCTGCTCCAGCCACAGAGGGACGCACGGAGCATGCTCAGTAGCCCTGAGGACGCCCCTGCCCTGCCCTCACTTTCTGGCAGCGGAGCAAGGGGGAGGCGGGGCCTGAGCAGAGGCAGAAATGCACTGGCCGGGGCGCCAGGCCGCTTTCGGGTGAGGCGGGAGAGCGGTGGCGGGGAAATCAGGGGGCTCCAAGAATTGCACAGTGCTTTCGCACATGACTGAATATTCTTTTATCTCTTAGTAAGATTACTGTGGTAACAGCTAAAAAGTAAAAAATACCTCCAAGGAAAGGAGTTAAGACTATTCTGAAGATAGTCACAGGAATCTAATCATGATGCTGATTCCTGTACAGGGATCTTTGTAGAAATTTGTTCAACTTTGTGGAAAAGCCTGCCATTCTGCACTCTTTGCTAAAATAGAATTTGTCATGCAAAAAACCAGGAAGTATTAGAAAGTTTTTTATCTTTATACTAGTGCTCATCTTTGACAATTCACCATGACATTGTGGGCCCCATTTTTAAATATGAAGGTTTTAACCGAGGTGGCAGGTGCTGACCTATTCACGCTGTGATCAGGGGGCGGAGAAGAGAGTGAGAGCATGGGGGAGGGTGGACTGAGGACACAGGCTTCAGCAGTGTTACTGAGCATGCTCAGTACAAGCCCAGCCCCAAAGAGGGAGAGGAGGACCCCACCCACCCATCCATCCACCCTCTCTCTTCCCCCTCCCCCATCTCTTATCCAGGGACTACCAAGGTGCTGAAAGAAATCTAAATAAATATTAGACCCACTCAGCTCTAACACCAACATCTTCTGACATCTTGTGGCAAGTCACTTAAGGGATAATGGTTAGCCTAAATGTGTACAGCCCCAAAGAGGGAGAGGAGGACCCCACCCACCCATCCATCCACCCTCTCTCTTCCCCCTCCCCCATCTCTTATCCAGGGACTACCAAGGTGCTGAAAGAAATCTAAATAAATATTAGACCCACTCAGCTCTAACACCAACATCTTCTGACATCTTGTGGCAAGTCACTTAAGGGATAATGGTTAGCCTAAATGTGTAATGTATATTCTTACTTTATTACTAATTCTGTGCAGAGAGACCCTACCAGGCTTCCTTAGCTCTGTCTCCGCTCTGGAAAAGGAGTGGTGTCTAGTGGGCAAGGGGGCAGACACATTTCAGTTCTATATAAGAAAATCAGAATAGCTAGGCTGGGTCAGACCAACTGTCCTTCTATCCAGTATCCTGTCTTCTAACAGTAGCCAATGCCAGGTGCTTCAGAAGGAATAAATAGAAGAGGCAATCATGATCTATCCTCTGTTGTCCATTCCCAGCTTCTGGCAAACAGAAGCTAGGGACAACATCCCTGCCCATTCTGGCTAGTAACCACTGATGGACCTATCCTCCTTGAACTTATTTTGTTTTGACTTGAACCCTGTTATGGTTTGGGTCTTTCCAACATCTCCTGGCAAAGAGTTCCACAAGTTGATTGTGGAAAAAATAATTTATTTTGTTTGTTTATATCTGCTGCCTATAAATTGAGTTATGTTAGCAACAGAATAAATAACATTTCCTTATCCTATTTTTCCACACCATTCATGATTTTCTAGATATCTAACATATTCCCCCACCCCTTAGTAATTTCTTTTCCAAGCTGAAAAGTCCCAGTCTTATTAATTTCTCCTCATATGGAAGCTGTTCCTTACACCTAATAATTTTTGTTGCCTTTTCTGTACCTTTTCCAAATATCTAAAAAAAGATATATGGGGTGATCAGATCTGCATACAGTATTCAAGATGTGGGCATACAATGATTTTATGTAGAGGCAATATGGTATTTTGTCATCTTATCCATTCCTTTCCTAATTATTCACAGTATTCTGATAGCTTGAACCAAAGTCTATCAGAAGAGACAGGGGAACCTAAACCCCTTTGAAAGCTCCAAAAGCGTAATGCACTTCACTTGTATACAAAATGGGTTTGTATACAAAAGTCCAACACAAAAACTGCACTAAATTCTGGGACATGAAAGCAGGAAAGCACTGCCTGATGGGAAATTCCTGCTCCAGATGCTAATGACCCCTCACCTACACACACCCAGCTCAGT